TATTATAAAAAACACTTCATATTTTCTCGTTTGATTATAAATTACATTTAAAATACAAAAAATAAAACCCAAAAAGGGAGCATAATACCCTTTAGTTGTGATTTCATAAATTATGTATTTATAAAAATTTACACGATGACCCTCTTCTTGATTTCGTCTCTTTTTTGCTTCTTGGAATTGTCTAAATGCCAAGTTTTCTTATGAATATCTATGTGTCAATTAAGTCATCATATACCTACTACAGGGAATTAAAATTTTTAAATATAATAAATTAAAAAAATATTATATAAACATGTTTGTAGAATTTTTTACGAGATTATAAGTTTTAATTAAACTGTAATTTTGGTATTTTTTAAATAATTATAAGATTACCTTCTTTTTTACTTTGTCCTTTTTTTACTTTTCAAAAGTATTAAAAGGCCAATTTTTCCTGCGAGCTAGACTTTTTCTATCAAATTTTTAGCAAAAAAAAAAAAAAAAAATCTTTTGCGGTAATAATTTTTAATTATAATAAATTAAAAAGTAATGTATAAATATATTTGCATAATTCTCTATAAAATTGTAAGTTTGAGTTAAAATGTAATTTTCATATTTTTAAATAATTACAAAATGACTCTCCTTTTTATTTTTTGTCCTTTTTTGCTTTTAGAAATTGATAAAAGACCAAGTTTCCTTGTAAGTACTTATGTGTCAATTAAGTCATTGTATATTTGATACTAAAGCGTTAAAATATTTCATGACAGTATAACAAATTAATAAATAAGATTTAGTTTTTTAATTAAAAAAATCATAAATATTATATAGTGAGTATTTACGTACCTTTATATTATATTAAAAATTTGAATTAAACTGTACATTTTGTGTGCGTTCTTCTTAATAGATTGTAATATTATTGATCGTACTTTTATTGGTGTATAGGTGATACGTGATTCATAAACCATTATATGAGCCAACATGCCTGTACTTTTTCTGCTGAGCGCGTCAGTTACTATATTGCCTTACCTGGATGATACAAGATATTACAATAATAATCATTGAGTAGTTCTATCCAACGTCTCTGACGCATGTTCAAATTCTTCTGAGTGAATATATGCTTCAAACTCTTATGATCAGTAAAAATCTCAAAAGTCTCCCCACACAAGTAGTGACGCTAAATCTTCAAAGCTTGGATAATGGCGGCAAGTTTCAAGTCGTGAGTGGGGTAATTTTTCTCATGACTCTTCAACTGCCTGAACCTATAAGTTATGATCTTACCATGCTACATCAGAACACAACCTAATTCCAGGTCGAAGGCATCACTATACACTGTATATCCACATGTTCCACTCGGTAAGACCAACACGGGTTCAGTAGTCAACTATTTCTTGAGTTCTATAAAACTACTTTCGTAGTCCACATTCCATTCAAATTTAACGCTCTTCTTTATGAGCCGGGTCAAAGGAGCGGTTAGGTTGGAAAATCCTTTCACAAACCTGCAGTAATACCCTGTCATTCTAAAAAAGCTACGAATCTCCTTAGCCGTGACCAATTTCTCCTATCTGAGCATTGCCTCAGCTTTTTCAGGATTCACTGATACTCCATCCTTTGATATGATGTGTTCTAGAAAGATAGTCTGCTGGCGCCAAAACCAACACTTACTTAATTTTGCATACAATTTCTTCTCCCTGAGGACATGCAAAACTTGAGCCAGGTGGTGAGCGTATTCCTCTTCGCTCTTTGAATAGAGTAGGATATCATCAATAAATACAATGACGAACTGATCCAAGAATTGTCTAAAAGCCTTATTCATCAAGTTCATAAAAATGGCTGGTGCGTTGATTAGTTCAAAGGACATGACTAGGAACTCATAATATCTGTACCTGGTTCTAAAACCTATCTTGATAATGTTCTATGCTTTGATCTTTACTTGGTGGTAACTCAAATGCAAATCTATTTTGGAGAAGATTTGGATACCCTGCAACTGGTCAAAAAAGTCATCAATTTTGGGGAAGATGTACTTATTCTTTATCATGACACTGTTCAATCTCCTATAGTCAATATATAATCTTACATCCCATCCATTTGGCCATAGGCGGATTCAGCATCGAAAAAGAGCCAGAGGAAGAAAATTTACCTCGATTGGCGGTCGAAAATTCTCCGGTGCGGCGACGGGTGGCGGCGGCTGGTTCCTCCGGCGTCTGGTTCTTCTTCTCCGGCGAGGCACTGGCGGTTAGGGTTTTGTGGTCGGTGTGGGTGGGGGTTATTTATACCCTTCGCCTTTCAATCTCAACCGTCCATCAAAATTAAATATGGACCATCCGATCGCGATTTTTTTGAGATTAAATATGGACCGTCCATCACGATGTGATCTGAGCCGTCCATGCCTGATTGAATTTGGACCATCCGTACGCGTGAGATCTGGACCGTCCGTGCGCACATTTGATCTGGACCATCCATGCGCGCGGGAACGGATCTGGGCCGCCCGATCGCGCACACGCGGATCGCCCACGTGGCCCGTCC